CGATGAGGACCCAACATGTCAGTCATATTTATAAAAATAAGATTAAAAACCATATTTTCTGGAGACACACGGACGAGCACCTTGGGTGTGCTCGATGCCGTGCGGCCCCGACCCCGTGCGCCCTCAACTCTGACGACGCCACCTCTTCTTAACGACTTCACCCCCCCTCAAGAAAACTCGCCACCACCCCGCCATTCTCCACCGCGGAGCCGACGGAGGCGGCGCCGCGGCCGAGCCCTGTGCGACCGGCGGAGTAGACGGAGGCATGCGCTGGTGTGTTGAGACGGCGGAGGCAGCGGGGTCGCGGCGGAGCTCCGCGCGGAGGGCGCGGCCTCGTCCGAGGCGAGTGCGGCGTCGCCTGCTGCACGGAGGCTGGTGCGGCACGGAGACCGGAGGCCATCCGAGGCCCGTCCTGCCGGCCGTGCAGCTGCTTGAGGGCGGTGCACGAGGCAGCCTCCGCCGGGAACAGTGCCATGCATAATGTGGCAATGCCATCCAAACGCACGCATGCCTGCTGGCTAGACGCATGCATGCCAGCGTAGGCGTGGGTTCATGCAAACGCATGCATGCCTGCTGGCCCGCAGGAGGCGGCAGCCAAGACGGGCGCGCGGTGGCGACGGTGCCGCACGTGGCTGGCGTGGTGCGAGCGGAGGCGATCCTGCACGGCGAGGCTGCCCGGCACGACCCCGCACGGCCCCGCACGGCTCCGCATAGTGCAGCGGCGGAGGTGTCGGGGACGCGGGGGCTGCCCGGGGGCACGCGCAGGGTTGCTTCGGCCGGAGCCACACTAGCAGTGGGATATGCGTAGAAGGGGCTTCGGCAGCAGGGGTCACACGGAGGCGGCTAGTCGGTGCTTGAGGCGGATCCGACGGGGCCGTGTAACGCAGCGCCCCGCTTCGACCCGCGTGTGCGCCGCCGCGCAACCATCGCCTCGGCCGCGCCGTTGCGCTGCGCCGACGTCGCCCCGGTCGCCGCGCCTCCCTTTCCATCCCCACCGCCGCCTCTCCCGCGCCGCTGTGCTGCGCCGACATCGCCCGGCCGCCACCCGCGCCGTCGCGCGCCAGCCTTCTCCCTCTCCGGCGCGCGCACATGTGAGAGGGGAACAAGAAAGCACAGCAAAGGAGAGGAGGAATCGAGAAGGGAGAGGAAAGAATAAGGAGGAGAGAGAGATACCGACATGTGGGACCCACATATGGCTCCATCGACACGTATATGCCACCGTGGCATGCCACGTCAGCGGATGGAGCGGCTCGGAGCCCATTTGGATCTATATGACACCCAAGACAAGTTTAGGGACCTAAAAATGAATTTTGAGAGTTCAGGGACCTAGATGACATACCCGTACAAGTTTAGGGACCGCTGGTGCACTTCACTCTTTTTTTTATTTAGCACGATCTCAAATTCTTAGTGGGAAAGGGGGGGGGGGGGGGGGCTGCCACAAAGTGGTTTCTGTACAAATTGTTAATTACTGTGCATGCTCAAGAAGATTAGGACTAACCCTAAGAAAAAAGAAGAAGATTAGGACCGAAGATAAAGGACGATCAGCTGAAGACTTTAGCTATAGCAGATAAATTAATGACGGTATGAATTATTCAATTGTAGTATCTGATTTTAAGAGGACTTACTCTTAATTATCTGCAGATTACCATGAATCAGTCAAAAGTCAAGGTCAAATGGAGCAGACAAATTACCAAGATAATCACATAAATAAGGATACTAAGAAAAACAAAGTGGGCCCTGCAGGGGGCTAATTAGTGGTTTATGGGCCGTGGAATAATAGGGCCATCATGTTAGTAGGCCTCGTTTAGATAGGCCTAGCGAAATTCCGGCCCATCCATACGATTCGATACGTACTCCGACTTCTCACTTAGTATTGGAGCGCACCAAGCGTCAAATGAGAGTACTAGTACTATATTTATTTGTAGCGCCATTTTTTTTAATAAAAATGGTAATTTAAAAAAATTATTTACATTAAAATTCATATTTCACACTGTAAAGATTTATACATTTACATTATAAGTTCCAAATCTTACGATGTACATTTTAAACCTTACAATGTAATTTTATTAGTACTCTAGAAAAAATAAAGTTGTAGTACTTTAATCCACATAAAAAGGTTTATGCACACAAACTGAAAAAAGAAACTAGACAAAAATAACGTAGCAAGGGAGTAATTGATCATGCTAGTGAAAAGGCTAAAAGATGGATAGCAACCGATAGCTAGCACGAATGTATTGGCAGGATCCAATGTCCCATATAATTTGACTAAGATCGAGAGAAATTTAGTAAATTTTAGGTAACTAAATATACTTTGACCAAACAATTACAAAACTACAGATTTTAGGTGGTGTACCATAAAACTACATATTTAACATCGAATTTACAACAAAACTTTTGACTAGCTAAGATGATAAATCATTCCATGTTTATTAAAAGAGAAAGGGTTTGTACAATAAATTTAAAGAACCAACGGGATTAGGGGTGGACAAAAAACTCGAAACTCGCGGCTCGGATCGGCTCGTAGCAAGCTTGGCTCGGATCGATTCGAACTCGCAGTCTTAATGAGTCGAGTCGAGCTAACCTTCTAGCTCGCGAGCTGCTCATTTAGCTCGTTAGTATAAAATATCATCATATGTTCATGTTTCTTGACTAGTACTAAGTCTTTTAATTACATCAAAACTATTCATATGTAGTGAGTATTATATTAGTTAGTTTTTATTATTATGTTAATACATAATAAAATGTTAAATTTAAAATTATTAATATAATATTAATGAGATATAGTTTGTTAACGAGCCTAACAAGCTTAATGAACCAGCTTGTGAGCTGAGCCGAGCTAGTCTTTTAGCTCGTTAACATTAACGAGCCGAGCTGGCTTGTTATCCAGCCCTAAACGGGATACCAGGTAGGAAGGGCTAGAGGGACGAGACTCCTCTAACGTAAAGTCGGAGGGACAGAGGAGCTCGCTCCGGGCCGGAGGACCAATTTGAGATTATGCAAAAAAAAAAAAGAAAGAAAAAAGAAAAAAGAGAGAGAGGATTGAGAGCCTATTGAAAAATGTATGCCGCCGTGATGCACATAGTCTGGTGTGGCAAAAAGATTTAGATCTAAAAATAAATTTTAATGTGGTTCATTTCTAAATTTAAAAACAAACAGGTTGAAATAGTTCTTTTTTTAAAATAAAATCGCACGTCGCGAACGAGGTTAGGCCGATTTCATGACAGAAAAAGGACAGCATATAAAAGAGTGTATATGTATCAGGCAGAAGCGACCAAAGCCCCTGTTCGTGTAGAGTCAATAATCTGCAGATCAGAATCCTATGGATCTTTTTTCTTTTCTTTCTCCAAGGGACAGGACAATGGAGAAGAATCCGATGGTCTGAACTTGTCGTCCTAAATTTGCATGAGTCATGCAGTTCATGACAGTGAGCAGTCACCTTCACGGATTGTTGTCTCGACATTGTTTGACGTCGTTGGCGGTAGGTAATAGATAAGGGTGTGTTCAAGTGCTTTAATTTTATCTTGAATTTGGATGTAAATTATTCTTAATCAGCTAGATCAATAAACTGAATTTGGATGTAAACAGTACTTGAAGCGAAAGAAGTGCAGACCCTCAAATTAGTTAGTACTTCTGGGTTGAGTCAATCTTGATTTGTACTAGTAAAAGTATAACTTACTCCTATTATTACAAGCTAGGGAAAATGGGGGAAAATATGATTAACTAGATAAATACCTCGCCGCGTTGCTGCAGAAAATTAAGTTGCGTAATATGTAGAAATAATATGTAATTTGATTATCAAAACTAAAACAATTTGATATAGTTTTGAGCCTAAAAATAATTGAGATTGCATGTTTTTAAGAGAGAAGAAAGAAGAGATAATTTGAACCATAGATCTGTCATCTAAAGACTAAAATAATTGAGTTGATATGGTTTAATGAAAGAAGAGAGAAATAGCATTAACTACACTTAGTGGGGATGAACTATATAAATATATAGGATTCATAAGACACACTAACTGAATCAGCTCTCTGTCTAATAAACTGTCGTAAAATTTGTTTGAATTTGAGCTTCAAACATGAATCTAAGTTTTAAAAAGAAATTGTGCTCACAGCCAGGTCGGTCTAGAGGTTGGGGTGGTCAGTGAAGAGGTGGGAGTGGAGGGCGAAGAGCTGGAGGCCGGCGTAGTGTTCGTCCGACATGCAGTGCTCCCGGAACCCCACCACCCCGCCGCACTCCACCTGGCACACGCGGCACCGCCACCGCCCCCTCGCCGTCGCCGCCGCCGCCGCCGGCGGTGGCGCCCGTGGCTCCGGCAGCGCGGTGAACTGGATCATCCCGGCGTCGACCAGCCGCTCCGCCGCCTGCTCCACGACCTCCCGCCCCATCTGGCTCGCCATGGCGCCGTGCCCATGCCCATGGTGGCGCAGCGCGCGCGCGTACCCGGGACCGGGAGCTGCGCGGCGGCTCAGCGCGAAGCTGGCGTCGATGTCGCGCCGCGGCGGCGGAACGGCCGGCGGCGCGCGGGCTGCTGCTGCGAGCGCGGCGAGATTGTCCATGAACGACGTCGAGTCGAGAGCGAGCTTGATCAACTCGAGAGCGCGGCGATCGATATGATCGATTGATCGTCTCGAGTGATTCCGCGATTGCTAATTAAGCGTGCGTGCTCCAATCCCAAGTGATTTCCAAATCGGTTGTTAATTAAGCGTGCGTGCTCCAAAGTGATTTCCAAATCGGATTATAGTTGTAGTTCATTCTGTTTACATAATGTGTAATAGTTGTAGTTCATGTCAATATCAAGCCAATATGTTGAGTACAATTAACTTTTTTTTAATTATTTTGAGAAGGGTATATTTTACTCGGTCTCTACGTATATACAGCCTTTTTAAATTGGGAATTTATTCTCTCAAACAATACAATCTAAAATTTGCTTTTACAGATATTTGAACGTAGGACCTTGGCTGAAAATCACTTAAATAGATATTTGAACTTAGGATCTTGGGTACAACTCATGTCACTTTTCACTAGTACAATTGACTTAATTAAGTCACGTAGTAATAATTTGAATTAAATACGAAGTCTCAGACGATACTACATTCTCATTTTAAAAACCTTGGCATACAAGAGTTCATCAGTGAGTTCAATAATCCTTCTTAATTTAACCACATTGATACGGTAGTTAACTTTTCGTGCAAAATTTATGTAAGGTTTTTAATGTACGTGCCAGCATAGATGCTCTTTTTCGAAAAGTCTATGGCAGCTATTTTTTCACCGTTACTCAGGATCAGTGTTTGAAATTTCCGAAATTTCCGACTCTTGGCATAAAACTATTTCACCTGATTTTTTTTAAAAAAAGTCATTTTTGGTGAATTTGCTCAAAATTCACTCAAATTTGGTTTGAATTTCAAATAATTTACAAAATGATCAGTGTTGCAATTTCGGTCCAAAATTCCCTGCACAACACTGTCACCCGAAATTTTCAAGTTTTTCATTTTTGTTGTAAATATAGTCAAACTTGGTCAACATTTGTTGAAATATCCAAAAAAACTCGATCCCAAAAATTCTGAGATTTCCAAGAATTGGTTCCGAAAAATTCCGAAATTTCAAGAGTCCCCCAGTGTAAATTTTCAAAACGAAAATTTTCAAACCCTGCTCAGAAGTCAGGATTCACAATTCGGATCTAACAACGAGCTACAGATTCACAATCTCAAATCCAAATTTCAAACTTTGGAAATTTCAGGTCTAGCTGGGTCCCAGCTAGGATGGGCATCCCGCCAACAGTTTCAAATTTATCTGAATTTAGCCCCAAAAAAATTGAAATTCAGATAAACTAAATTCATTTTTTTAAAAAAAAAACAATCTACCTTTAATCAAACCAAACCAAAATATTTTTAAAAAGTCTACATGGGGTTCTTCTTCTCGTCCTCCGGTGGAAGCAGCCGCTGCCGCAGGCTGCGAATGAACGCGACGACGACCTCGTCGGACTCGGAGTCGGGGTTCGCCTGAACCCTCTTCCGCCCCGGCGGCGACGCCGACGCCGCCATCACGAGAGCTCCCTCAAACCTCCTCGCAGGCAGCCGCGTTGGCGCCGAACGCGCCGCCTTCGGCGCCGGCGGGCACACCGTCGGCGGCTGCAGCCGTTGGCGCGGCGACGTCGGTGTCACGTACCCGTCTTCGTCGTCGTCGTCGCCGTCGCCGGCGCCGGCGACGACGACGGCCGGCGGGGCAGAAGCTTCCTCCTCCGCCACCGCCGCCGCCGTGGTGGGCGCTTCATCATCGCGGCGTCGTCCCCTCTCGCCGGTGAGGTCTACAGAGGCAGAAGCTTCGACGACGCCATCGCCGGCGACGGCCGTAGTAGAGGCAGCACCAGCTTCCGACGCCGCCCCCTCGCCGGAGACGACGACGACGACTGCGTCCTCGCCGCCGCCGCGCACCGGCGCCGCTTCGGCCGCTTGGTCGTCGCCGCAGACTCGGGTGTCCATACCTTGCTTGGCGCCGGCGGCGAGGTCCGCGGCGGCGGCGGCGAAGATTCGATCGGCGAGGAGGGAGAAGGGGTCGTGGCGGTTAGGGTTTTATAAAGGGAGAGGGAGGAAGTTAAGTCGGTTACAAATATATGGAGATCGACTTGGATATATAGAGTTTGGATATATTTGGATTACTTTTCTATCTCTTGTAAAAAAGAGGAATTATTAGTTAGGAGTACTAGGAACTTAAGAGATATGATGCACATATGGGTTGCAACTTGTAGATTACCTTGTGCAAAGTGACTTACCTTTTAGGGCCTAAATGATTACATATATATATATCTCTCTATATGTTGGTTTTGCAAGATTGGAGTGTACTAGCTATATCTTTATCTCCTTTTGTAAGAGAGGGATTAGTTAAGATATGCACATGTGCCGTTGCAAAATTACTTTATACAAAGTCACTTGCCTTTAGGACTTTAAGGATTGAAATATTTTTAAGAAATTCTAAATTTTGATAAACTTGATTCAAATTTACAAAAGAGAATCCAGCATTTGATTGTTGAATTTTACGCCCCCCCCCCTCTCACATACAAGGACATTCTGTTCTTATTTACATGTCACTATACTATTCCTTAACACACTCTAGCAGCTTGTCTTTTTATAAAAAAATAATAAAATATATGTCTATGGATAAGACATACCTTCTATCCTATAAAACGGAATATACGGATATGGTATACCTTCGTGTATACGATATATTTCCGTATGCGATAAGGAAATCTACAAGATATTATGGAAAATATCCTCACGGGCTGTGATTAACAGAGTCTTACTCGGAGAGGGTTGGGTTTATTCTATGTCGTGCATGGTTCATTGTCTCCGAGTTCTACTTGAAAACTAAGGCAACTCACGGTATAAAAGGCACACCCCTTAAGGGGATCATATCATCAAATCATAGCGCCAACACACCCACCATAGTTTACGAAGCCGGAGGACGCGAAGCCTACTCGCCGGGGAATCTCGTCGAACCATCTCGACTAGGATCTCGCCGGTAACGCCGGATTCATCTGTTCTCTGTGTACTCTGTGGTATCCATATCAATATCATATAAACTGGATTAGTACTATTACCTTATAAGGGGCTTGAACCAGTATAATAATATCTGTGTACTCTCTCTATTTGTCTTGATGTTGTATCGTGTAGATCCTCGTACCAATATACCCAATACCCTATTTATCCGGTGCACGGGTATCCCCCGTTGACAATATACAAATACTTAAAAATATCATATTATCAAAGTAATTTTCATGCTAAATATAACTATATACTGCATACATTCATCAAAACATCATAATTTAAAAGTTTTTACTATAGTAAAAAAATCACACTAGTCAACAGTGCCAAGTACTAAAAGAGAATCGAGGGAATAATTGCATTCTGAATTTGTGAACCTCTTGTCTGGAATCTAACTCTATTCTCATATCATTGAAGAAAACAGCCGAGTAACAAGATGATCTCAATGTCAATCATGCTACTACCATTTCATTGAACAAAGCTAGCTAGTAAAATTCACTTGGCATATATATATATATATACATGCATGTCATCTAGATCTAACCCAGCCGAGCTGATCCTATATATGCATTGCATGCCACGCTAGCTACAAAACACATGGGAAAGTGTTTTCTTTACTGGAGGGGATATCCTCTCGATTCTTACTAGTTATAAAATAACTTAAATAATTTAAAAACAATTAATATGATATATTAATATAAAATATATCACTCAAATTTAATTTCCACAAGTTATAAAAATACAAATATAAGTGCATGTTAACTATTTTCAGTTTATTTTTTTAATACTTTATAGAAGTCGAATTCCACCTTGCATTTTTTTAAGTGACTAGAAAAAATGCCCGTGCTTTGCAATGGGTAAACGTTATTTTAATCTTATTGTTATTATACGGTAATTTCGTTAAGGTGAAATACACTGTGGAAATTCGCCTATATTTTCAAAAGCAAACGAAGTTAAACATTGACTCAAATACGGATATATATTTCCAAAAGCAAACGAAGTTAAAAACCGACTCATACACATATGACGTACCAAAATACCGGCAAAAACATCTTCAATTTTTATAATAGTCGAGATATATTTTATATTAATCTATGTTGTTAAGTTTTTTTTATGTCTATTAAAATGGCATGTAAAACACGAAAGGAGGTAATTAACATGGAGGTGTATGATTAATAAAATCCATCTCCAAAACACACTACTACACACAAAAAAAAGGAACTTTGTCAGGGGCATGAGTGTGACCTGTAATACATGCATATATATATATATATATATATATATATATATATATATATATATATATATATATATATATACACACACACACACACACACACACACACATGCATGCCATGGAAGAGAGGAAATTCAAAAGCAAAAAGCATGCATGCATGAAGCTATAAGCTAGTGCCTAGTATATGTACATGTCGCCATGCAATGCAATAATGCATTGGATCCTTCCTGTCTTTGTCTTGTACGTTAAGTACTTGTCGTAGTTGCTGCACATATATGGGCTAGCTAGCGTGCATGCGTGGCCGTCCGATCGATGGACGGATCGAGATCGCTCGTCGTGGAGCGAGGGCGTGATCGACGCGTATCTTTCGCGTCGTCGTCTCCAACGTAACGGCAACGCACAGTTTTCGTACCACGTCGCCGACAATATGCATGCATGCGCGCATGTAAATTCCATAAGTGCATCCTATGCATGCAGATGACTGTCAGTCTCTGTCAGTGACATCTCTGAAATTTCAGACTGTAAAATGTTTTGGGTTTTAAATAGATGGTCCCATAATAAGCGTATCTGTCGGTTTCAGGGTCCAAATTTAACCATCTGTTTTATTTGAAATATTTTATGATTAGCATTTTTACTGTTATTAGATGATAAAATATGAATAGTGTTTTATGCATAAATTTTTCAAATAAGAACGTTGGACACAGAAACTTATGGCTGCAATTATAATGGGACGGTGGGAGTACATGGATTATATATCCATATGTTGGTTAGATGGAGAAACGGCGAAAATAGTACTCCCTCCGTCCTAAAATGTAAGGGATTTTGGACAGATGGGATATTTTCTAGTACGATGAATCTGGACTATTCTAGGAAGTGTCCCATCCGTTTAAAATCTCTTATAATTTAGGACGGAGGGAGTATATTATTTGCACACACCGTATTAATTACTACTACCACCGTTTTGGATAGAGGCCACAGTATATGTTTGCCTTTTTTAAAAAAGAAAATACTGTTGTAGAAAATAATTTTGTTACACATGCATGAGTATATAATTTGAAAAAAAATACACTGATTATTATAGCATATTATCCAGGAAGAAATTAAATATTTGAAAAATAAACTTAACAAATAGCTTAGAACAAGTTAAACATTCTGAGTAAATATATTTTTAGACATTGAGTATGCAAATAACTAATCCACAACAATAATCGGCCGGCAAATTAAATAGCCGAAAATAACAGGGTTTAAAGTTAATTGGACAATACACCTTCACACGTTAATTAGACAACTCAAGTCCAAATTTGAAAGTTTTAGCTTTGGATGGATCGATGCATGGTACGATTCAGATATTCCTCACATGAAAAATATACTGATTTCTGAAGCTTGGCCGATCGAGTGGCCAGTGTTGTACTATTCTTGGTGATTATCTCAGCCTCTGGGCGATATACATTTAACATTTCTAGGGTGCTGAATAGTAAATTCCAAGTGAAGGATCTGGACAGAGATCTTCACGTTCAGTGGGGCATGCATGCTCAACTCTGAATTAATCACACCGACAACCGAGTATAGTACGTACTTTGTACTCACATGCACGTGTGCTAGCTACTAGTATAGTATATATATACGTTGTACTAGTACATCATAAAACATGGAAAAAGTTCAGTAAAATTATGTTCATTTGTGATAGTTTAGTGCTTAATTAATAGGATTATCAGCCAAGGATTTCTTCGAAACTCAGGATTATAAAAATATAGGAACAAAGAAAATCGTAGAAATAGAATTTTGTTTAGAGGAAGCAGGCAGGAGCTCTGCTATTTCATATTAGGAAAAGAGACACAGAAAGAATTAGTACACGAGCAGCAATCCCTGTGGCTGTGTTTAGTTCACATCAAAATTGAAAGTTTGGTTGAAATTGAAACGATGTGACGGAAAAGTTAAAAATTTGTGTGTGTAGAAAAGTTTTAATGTGATGAAAATGTTAGAAGTTTGAAGAATTATTTTGGAACTAAACACGGCGACAGTAAAGAAGAAGGCAAACTCTCAGGCTATAAACTTTTGGCAAACTCAAATTGCCAACCATACCAATGCATACGCGTATACTAGTACAGTACTAGCCATTAGTACAACCTGACCAAATCCAATGCACTTTTCTCCCTTTTTCCTTATTGCAATTTGCAGAGTTCTTTTAAGGGAAGTAGGGGCCAAAATTACGATGGTGGATTGGATTCGACTGAAGACTTTTCTCACAAGTGATGAACTGTTCATGAACAGAAACGGTTACCACCTTGTCTGGATTCTGTAGCTGGCCTTGTGAATTTGATGAACAGCAACAGCGCGTCTGAATTCATGGAGGCGGAGGAAATATCAGAATATTCAGGTCACGGATAAATCATCCATCGATGAGCTTCGATTTGATCGTCAGTCGACGGTAGCTAGCTGCCAGGGTTTCCCAAACCGCCGGGGTGGGGGTTACCGTGCCCCGGCGGTAAGCACGGTTACCGCGCGGTAACCGCGGTAACCCTGAAAAACCATACAAAATCGTGTAAAATTTATCAAAAATTTAAATTATTTTTTAAATGTATTTAAATTTAAGGAGGTTACCGCGATATTTATATTACCGTACCCCCGCGGTAAGCCCGGTAACCGCGCGGTAAGAGAAACCCTGCTAGCTGCTGATAGAAGTCTGAAGAAAAGAAAAGTACCTGAAGAAGCTCAAACATGTTCTCCTCTTCTTCTTTTTTTTATCTTCCATTTCTGAATTGCTGAAGCTACACGGTATCTATTTTTTTTTACTTTTCTCGATTAGTTATAATCGAGCATAGTGTGTACTTTGTACTCATGCAGTATCCTGGTTCAATGTACACTGTACAGTATAACATAAGGGAAAAAATGCAACACATAACTCATATCAGAACAGGGAGAAAACGCAAAATTGACACAAACTGATCAAATTTGTGAAATGTGATTAGGATATGAAAGACTAATACTCACTAGTCACTACTATCATGCAATCCACCAATCATAATATTGTTTCATGTCCCTTCGAGAATCAGAACCACTGTACTGATCCTGGCATTTCTGCCAAGATAACTGTGGCCTGCATGATCACAGAGGCCTCTGAATAAGAAAGCTGCAGCTGGTGGTTTCCAAGGAAAGCTGCAGAAAATTTTGAGGACATCACTGGCCAAGAGCAGACATCGCAGCATTTCTGGGCCACACAATGTGGCCCACACAGATTTACAAGAAATTGGGCCCACCTTGGCCTGGGCCTATTAGGTGGAGCCCATGTAATGGCAGAGTTGTAAAATGCATATGCAAATTAATTCTCCCTAAGCTTAACTGTAAATGTTTCTGTTATATGGGTGCCCTACCTGGACTGACATGGAAGGATGATCTTTCTTTATCACTTGTGATGATTTGAACTTAAGCTCATTTATTAAGTACTAAAGAAAAGGCCATTTCTTATTTTGAGAAATGTCAATGTCTGCAAGTTCTATGGCCACTGTACCAATAGTCCAATGCACTAACGAGTTAGGTCAATCTCTCATTTCATATTGTGCCATGACCTAACCCATCTATTTTCACTTCACTTTTCCTGCACTTTGCCAAGTTCTATGGCCCATGGATAATATCCAAAAAAAAAAAACCTACTACTAATATAATCAGGGATATAACAAGTGGACCAAAGTTTCTTAATTCTCATGGAGAATCAAAGATTATGTTTTCAACGAAAATAAAATTAAACATATAGGCACACAGAAAAATTAAGAAAAGATCAGATTAATTCCTGCCTAATTTTGTTCTGAACTTCAGTTTAATTCCTTTTGTCTCTGCCTAATTCTGCGAGACTTTTGACCACTAGAAAAAAATATATATATTAAAAATGTGCAGCTCAAATCGCGCGCGAACGAAGTGCTTTCCCACCCGCACTCCACTTGCGCGCCACGCCATGGATGAAATCAAATCATCTCATCAAAGTCCAATCCCGCTAGCTCCATCGCCTCCAGTTTAATCATCGATTCAGATCAAGCAGAATCGAATCGATCTCTACTTGCTCTGCTGATTCAGTCAAGGATGAGCTCTGCTGCTGCTGCAAGGCGCGGCGGCGGCGGCCGGTGGCTGCACGCGGCGTGGCTGGCGCTCACCGGCGGCGCGGCGGAGCTGTGAGTGATAGCTAGCTTAGCTTTGCTCGTTTCTGAATCTTTTCTACTACCTCGATCACCGTGTTTCTTGATCAGGATCACGGCGGAGGAGGTCGCCGGCGGCGGCGGCGGAGCTGTGAGGAGCGGCTCACGCTACGAGCTCGTGAGCACGGAGGAGCCCGACGGCGACGAGACGAGCTGGGAATCGAATCCTGGACCTGCCTCGGAAGCAGCGCTGTTCCTCGTGGCACGTGAAGAGGATCCGAAGACGACGACGACGAGTTCGCCGGAATCCATCTTCGCCTGCGACGAGCTGCGGGTGAGCAGGCCTGAATTCTGGCGCTGGCCCGCGAAGAAGGGCAGCGGCGGCGACGGCGAGCCGGCGGCCGCGGTGGAGTCCGAGCCGTTCCTGACGCGCCGCCGCGGGGCGAAGCGGGTGAACGATGCGGAGATGGAGGATCACCCGTTCAGCTTCGGTCGCCATGGGAGGATGGAGTCGTCGTCGTCGGCGGCGGCGGCGGCGTTGTTGCTGCTGTCTTCTTCATAGCCGGCGGCGAGCTGATGACTGAAGAAACGCAAGTAGTATCTGAAGAAACCGAAAGATGTTTCTTCTCTTTTTTCCATTTTTCTTCTTTTTTTGAGAGAGAGAAGCTAAGGCACTGTTTAGTTTCCAAACCAAAACTTTTCATCCTGTCACATCGAATATTTGACACATGCATGAAGTATTAAATATAGATAAAAAAACTAATTACACAGATTGCATGTAAATTGTGATACGAATCTCTTGAGCCTAATTGCTCTATGATTTGATAATATAATGCTACAGTAAACATTTGCTAATAACGGATTAATTAGGCCTAATAAATTCGTCTCGCAGTTTACAGGTGGATCTGTAATTTGTTTTGTTACTAGTCTACGTTTAATATTTTAAATGTGTGTCCGTAAATCCGATGTAACATGTCAAATTTTGTTATGGGCAAGGCTAAAGGTCTAAAGGATGCTCCATGGTTAAATTGGTTGTTCTAAATTAATGGTTAAGTTGGTTACAGCATACAACACAAAGAATTGATGCAGAAAGATGAGGCAGTTCTACATGTATGGTGATGATAATTTTGGGAAAGAAAAAATCCTTAATTTTCTCTTACGAATTATGGATTATCGCGGACACGATTATCCCTATGCTTTAAATAGTACAGTTTTCTCAAAAGGGAAAAAAAAGCTTTTGTCATTGGTATTTTTTTTTAGAAAACTTTCTTAAATCGATCTTTTAACTTTCTAATACTTACATCGTTCGTTTTTGTGTCCTCGAGTAATTGTCATAAACTCAGTTTCATTCATAATCCATCGTTGGAACTCTAATACTCCCTCCGTCCTAAAATACAAATATTTTTAGCATAATGACAAGTCAAACATTTTCAACTTTGAGTATTAGTAGGAAAAATAAAAAAAAAGATCACTCATGTAAAATTGATGTTACTAGATTTATCATTAAACAAACTATCATAATATATACTCTTTTTATTGAAAACATTTTACTTTTATAGATATTGTTGGTCAAAGTAGCATCTCGGAAAACCGTGTCAGAGTCTAATAATACTTATATTTTGGAATAGAGTAAGTATGTATTATCATACCTGAAGTCTTAGATTTGTAAAATGCTTGTGAAGGCATGACAAAGAGATTGGAGCTTTTTTACCCAAACTTTATTGGAAGGGATTTATGTGCATTGATACAATTGTTTACATTTAGAAACAATTATACTTCCTCTGTTCTAAAATATAATATAATCAGCGGCGGAGCCAAGGCCCAGCCAGTATGGGCAAGCGCCCCGGCTATGCTGCATACATCCATGCATTAGAACTAAATATGGTGCTTAGCCATTAGCCTAGCTGCACATGCATCATTAGATTGGTATTAATTATCATACTTAGTCATTAGACAGCAGCCCAATTTTACTTCTATCCATGATAAAATGTTATAGGTATTTGTGTTTTCTTGTTAATTTGTTATCCATTGTTAGGTTTGTCCAGGCTAAAAAAATTTCTAGATCCGCCACTGAATATAGTACTCCCTCCATTTTATAATGTAAGTCATTCTAACATTTTCCATATTTTTATTGATGTTAATGAATCTAGACATATATATCTATGTATATTCATTAACATCAATATGAATGTGGAAAATACTAGAATGATTTGCATTGTGAAACGGAGAAAGTATTGGATAAAATATATCCCGGTATTAAGAATCCAGTAGGAGGTTGTTATATGGGACATAGAGAGTAGCATTTTTCAGATTCTGGCCCAAAACATGTGGCCCAATCGGCCCAGAGAGATAGAACACAGACAGATAGAGGAAGAGAGAGAGAGGAGGAGCGGATTTCTCTCTTCGTCTCTCCTCGCACTCGCAGTTTAGTCCGTTTCACGAGAGGGAGGAGAGAGAAACGAGAGAGAGAGAGAGAGAGAGAGAGAGAGAGGCATTAGCTCATGGAGGAGGAGGGGAGGAGGAGCTCCATTTCCCCTTTTGTTCCCCTGCGCATTCCAAGAAGAGAGCAATCTTTCTCTCTCCCCTGGTACGATCTGTTCCTGTGGCTCTCCCTCCCTTTTTTTTCTTGGTGTAATAGGGGCCCAAATCTTTGTTCTTGTTCTTGCCATGTGATTTCTGGCCTTGAATCTTTAGTGCTAACCGGTTAGGGATTGTGTGATGTTTCGATTGCATTTGGTCCTGTGGTGTCTCATCCTTGAAAGTTTAGAATCTGGTTTATGGATGGATCAACGCTTGGGTGATATTGGAAGCTGCAGAATTATTCTTTCCCCACAAATTACTCATAATAAATGTATATCTATAATCTAAGATGAAACCCCAAGATTCACTGCTTTTGTTCCAGGAGAAAATGTATATTGGTGCATGCTGTGCTGCATGATTTCCATGGAATATATATTGCCTTGCTATGTTAAAACTAAAGGTTAACATTTTTATTTTTGAGAAACTTAAAGATTGACATTTGAATTCATGCATCTAAGTCTTGGAAACATAATGGATATCATGGTTCTAAAAATCAGTAAATAATGGATATCATGGTTCTAAAAATCGATAAGCATTATTCAGTATTCACTAATCACCCTGATGGTAGTGAGCATACGGTGTAGTCATCAATTATACTGTAAGTTGGTAACAGCCGCCTGTTCCTTGTATGCAACCTAATATACACCCTATTAGACGCGTTTTAGAGCATTTACGGTTATTGACATAATCTCTAGTCTCATAACTTCTTATGTGTAATGGGCTGGAATGCCCAATAATATTCTCAGGTTCAGACTAGCTGCAGGGTTCAAGGACTTAATTTACCTATACATTGTCGTCAGGTTTGTCTGGAATGATGGCGGAGAGCAAGCGGTTCGATACACAGAGCCCAGGCTGCCTTGAAGGCCTGTTCAACTTCCTTGCCCTGAACCAGCGGTTGCAAATGCCGAAGGCGATTGCGTACCGAAAGCACAATGAAGGAAGTAGTAATACACTTAGTAAGGTTCTACATGATTCTATCAGCATTTTCACAGTTTGGAGAACTTAGCATGTCTTTTCAAGGTTTCAGATAGGAGCTCAGTGCCTCAGTGTACATTTTACTTTGCTGTTCATAACTTCATACGTGAAAGATGATCGCAGCTAACTTTGATAACAATGTGCACATCTCTATATTGGTTGTGTAAAGTAATGTATTCCATTGTTTTTATGCCTAAGCAGGAGTAAAAGTTCCAAAGCCCAAAAACCGCTCGGAGAACGATGAGTCTGTTCCGGTATGTACTTGATTTGCATATCTTTTTATGTTACGGGCAAAATAAGAAGCCTCGGTAGATATGAACTGGTGATTAACTGGTGTTTTCCATATTATCAATATATTAGCACAGTAGAAAAATCATAAACATGGTTCAATTGGCACTTTCTCAATCTTTGGGAACCTCAGAACCAGCCCTGATGTTTTTCAACTCACCATTTTCGTGACGATAAGCATGACTGGGTTATCTATAACAAGTTCTCATGTACATAAGACTACTATAAACTGACTGTTGATCTATCCTAATTCTCAGAAGGGGACTAATTCTCCAAAGGCAAAGGTCGGCACATTTATATGGAGGACACTAATGTTCAAGAAGAAAACACTCAAGAAAGATCAAAAGAAGAGCGACTCACCAGCCAACTCCCCATCATCATCACGTTTGACACGCTCCAGATCAATTCATCATTCAAAATGCTTTGAATATGTGGTTCCAGATGAGCTGGCTTCTCAATACCATACCATGATTGAATCAAGCTCCAATGAGGTGGATTCATTTCACAGTGCACCACCGTTGGTGCAGGAGAGTCCTAAAGTTCCCAATTTTCAAGAGTCATGCAAATCTTCTGGTGCCAAACATAGTTTCAATGCAGAAGCACCCTGTGAAACTGTACCTCAGAGCAGTAATGATGAAACTGAAGCCGCCTCTAAGCAGAAGAGTCGTGATGCTGCAACACATCACTCGAAGGAGTTCATGGATTTCCTTGAACTGTTCAATGCGCACAGGGAGCTATTTCTCAAAATTCTTCATGATCCTTCATTATTAGTACCATTGGAAAACCAAGATCAAGAAGCTTCCTCCAGCGGTGCAGTGCCACTGAACAAATCAGATTCGTTCCCAAGGCCAGGAGGATCATCAGGGAAACGTAACCCTATATTTGATCGGAATGACAGTGAGAACAATAGAAGGTCAGAAATCCAAAAGTCACCGTCTAGGTTGAAATCTGACATTGAAACTGCTAAAGTTATTGGTACAAGAATGCCTGATGGTGTTGAAGGCTCATCGGTTTCACTCACAGAATCAAAAAGCCTGAGGAAATCTGGAACCACTTCAAATCGTTTTAAAGTTATTCGTAAAAAGATTAAAGCTGCTGTAAAGGAGAACCGGAAAGAGCTTGCTCGGATTACCAAGGATGGAGTTTTTCATAAACTGCCATATGGACAAAAGATGGCTGGGTTCATGAAGAGTCCCTCCACAGACAAGTATGTCCAGGAGGAGAAACAAATGCGAAAATCATACTCCATTGCAGAATCAATAGACAAGTATTCAACACTCTATGAATCAATATCAAGGGACCCCAAGATTTCTCCAGAAAGACCAAGTACAATGTTTGAAGGTGATGCAAAGTTGAAAGACAAGAAGCCACCACTTTCTATGAAAAGAATAGCTTCTCTTCCAGAAATGAGATTATATTCACCTCAGCGAGATGTTTTATCTGAAGTTTCAGATTCCCAGATTGTGCCCAAGACTCACGATCTGGAATCTGGTTGCTTCTCTTCACAACAAACTGATCCCTTCAGCATCTGTACAGACGGAAGTTTCTACCCTGACGATATTACAGAAAGAACAGCAGATATTTACAGCGAACATAATTATGGAGGTAGGAAGGAATAAATAAATAGCTAAGGGGAACTTCCATAGAATATAAGCTTAAATTTGTTCCTTTTCTTCTTTTACAGAAAGTGCTTTACTTGGCTCACTGGAAGAGGATTTGCGCAGTATACTTCGAAGTCCAAGTTTACCTTCTGTGGCTCAATCTTTCTCCCATCGCCGCATCAATAGTTTACCTTCTTTTGATCGTTCTTTCTTCCAAGATCGTGTCACTAATGTTACCGAGCATTCTATAGCAGGTCAAGGTTTACTGAAATCAAATTTTAAATTTTTACTATACAATGTGCAAGCTAGTAGTAGAATAATGATCTATTTCAACATTTAGGTATAGGTGCAAATGAGCTAGTTCCAAGTTGAGCTAGACTTCACATTATAGATCATCATTTATTTTGTATATTGTAAATAAGAACCTAGAGCTTTTGCTGAGCTTCACTTTTTATGGAAAGAGTACTCTTTTCCTCATCTTATTTACCATATCATGATTAAACTCAAATGTTTGTAGCTTGCATGTACCTATACTATCACTGTTGAGACTTCTAGTTTCTTCAGAAGGACTAATGTTGTTCTATTCTTGGAGCAACTTCAGATTCAGAGCCGACGTTTGAACATATGCAGCTTGAGGATGATGACTGGTTGGTGAAGCCACCTCATCCTCCAGGACCATATGATGCTAGTTTGAAGGATGATGAGTGGTTGGTTAGGCCACTTAAGTCCTCAGGTGTTGACACTATTGATCATGAGGATGAAGAGTGGTTGGTCAGTACATCGCAGCTGCCCGGTGGCAATGCTGCTGATTTCGAGGATGAAGAGTGGCTGGTCAAGCCAGTGCAGTCGTCGAGTGCCGATGCTTTGGATTCAGAGTTCCAGTTTATACATGAATTTGCTGAAGATGCAGGTTCCTTGCACATTTATGTTAATGACAAGAATGAAGCCGATTTCCATTATGTCAAGGACATACTCAAAAAATCCGGATTCAGCTGCGGGGAGGCCGACTGGTATGCTTCCAATCAGCCACTCAGCCCAGTGATATTTGAGGAAGCAGAATTCTCGTGCCAGGAAACATACACCGCGAATGATGACCCCCACAGTGTCGTCAGGCGCATGCTTCTGTTCGATCTCATCAACGAGGTCCTGATGGATATCTATGATTCTTCCTTGGTCACCGGCCCATGGCACTCGCGCTTCGACTCGCGTACCAGGCCGATACCCATGGGGTCTCATGTCCTAGGGGAGGTGTGGGGGAAGGTGAGCTACAACCTGAGCCTGCAATGGAAGCCGGACCTGACAGTGGAGGACGTTGTGGCGCATGATGTCATGATGAAGGACAGGTGGATGAACCTTGTGTATGACGCGGAGTGTCTTGCGCTGGACCTGGAGGATATGGTGGTGGATGACCTTCTGGATGACATTGTTCTTCAGATAGTGTTGATTTCCATTGACGCGTAATGATGAATGATACCATGATCCTGAAGATTTTTTCCCTTATCAGATAGGTGGCTCACTGTTCTAGCACTGTGTTAATAAATGAGTGCACTTCCTGGGCAGATCATTATACCAGAAATGCAGACATGACAAATGTAGTATAGTGTAGATATTAGCAGTGCATAGATATTGCTAGACATAGAAAAAGTAGAATAGACAGGAAATAGCTTAGCAGATCACTGATGAGTGTAATATTTGACAGCAAATCTTTCAGGTATGCTTAATTTGTACTTGTACTATATACATTCAATTTGTAAAAAAAAACATAATAATATCTCTATAGTCAATATTGATATGGACTCTTTAACTTTCCGGGTATTATCATGTTCCAGTCTGAATATGTGAAGTCCTCATTTCGTTTCTGAAACTGAAACTCTGAAAGACGTTCTTCTAAACATGTCGTAATATTCCCACATATTTTTGATTAATTATCTATATTCTGGACTTCTCTTTTTGTGTGAGAGGATAGGTGAAAATTGAAATGCAGAATCATTAACATATGGTGAACTGGATGGGCAGAGAACCGAGGTGCCATATTATTTGCAGAATTGCAGACTTGCACTGCAGGATGTTCCAGGAACCCAACTATTCCCTGTTCTGATATAATAGCAATTTGATGAGATTATGAATCTGATTCTGATGTAGTAGCAATTCCCTGTCCTGTCATAAATTGCTTTTGCTGATAGCACAAAAATGTATCTTAAATGAAATTTTGAAAACAAAATCAAAAGCCCGTCTAGCTCAGTCGGTAGAGCGCAAGGCTCTTAACCTTGTGGTCGTGGGTTCAAGCCCCACGGTGGGCGATTTCATTTTTTCTATTGTTAAAATATAAATGTGCAGGCTAAGATTCAAATTTCACAGTTTTTAAAAACATGTCAATTTTGAAACGAGCCTTTGCTTATGTACTCCTAAAAAACATCTCTTTTCTTATAATAAATATGCAGGAATTTCACAGTTTCTTTAAAAAGAACATCTCAATTTATAAACAAGCCTTTGCTTAGGTACTCCTTGAGAATTTTTGTTCTTTTTTTGGTTTAAATATGCAGGCTAAGATTCAATTTTTCACAGTTCTAAAAAAGCATCTCAATTTATAAACAAGCCTTTGCTTATGTACTCATTGAGAAATTCTCAAAATTCCTGTGTGTACACCCGAAAGCTATCAAAGTCAATGGTAAGCTTTTCAATTTGCTATGTGCTGTTTAGTTTTTTCAAAGAAGCTTCATGAAACTTTCGATCAAATCTATCCAAGTGTGGAGCGCTTTAAGAAAGCAATTTTGAAATTGTGGTCCGTATCTTGTCAAGAAGACGTAGAAGCAAAGTTGATTTGAACTGAAAGCAACCATTCTTTTTGTTTGCATGTGTTTGAATTCAACCATGACAAGTACATATTTAAATTCGAACCAACCAGGGGAGAGCAAGAAACTCAAACTTCTGAGCGAATCAATCAATGTTTGATTTTTGTAATCTGATAGAAACAAGGCTTTTGTCATGAGCCCATCGAAATTATTGTTTCTTCTTACGTTTTCTGCAAGATCATGCCTAACTTTGACAAAATCTGTCCAAAACCTTTTGAATTTCTTATGCACGGCCATACGATAAGCTGATTTAAATTGAAAGCAACCGTCTTTTGATTTGTGTAGGGAATGATTCCGTGAAGAACAAGTTACTACGTTTTTAACCAAACTATGTTTAATATTTTTATATAAGCAAGGCTCTTATCACAACAATTCAAATGTTGTCTCTGGAAAGTACGCTCAACTTTGGACAAAATCCATCCGAACTTTGACATTTGCATTTTGGTTTTGGTCCATAACCATAATCACACAAGAAAACACGGGGACAATGCTGTCCGAATTGACAAAATCTATATTTATGTTTGTGTGGTTCCTTAGTTAAATCATCAAAACTTTGGACAAATTCTGACCTCTCTTGGAATTTTTTAACAAAACTGAGAAAGCTCTGGAAGTTAGAACAGAAATGGCCTTCTTTTTGTTTCGATAATCTTCTATTTTGAATTAAATCATGCAGACAACAGCATGATTCTTGCTTGCCCTGTAAGGACAAGGGAGGTACAACACAAATAATTCCATTGAAGTCTTAGTGCCCAAAAAAAAGAAATATTGAAACTAAAATAATATCACAGTCTGAAACTAAAATAGAGGATAAAACAAATTCAAATAGTCCATGGGTACCTGAATTCTTTGTGGTTGCCACGAATTCGGTACGGTAGGTTAATAATTGTTAGTAGACGTACCGTCTGAGAATATTGAACATGTTATACATTGGAGTATATTATTCCACCAAGACTCATTTTACTATTTTCGCACAATCATCAATTTAAGACCTCAAGTTTACAGAAAACGACTGATTTAATGACACTTGAAAAATTCCAACCATTTCTATAGGATCATGGTATGCTTTCAGCAATTGCTGACTTTTGCCCTACCTTATCACTTGAGCCCCTATAAATAGAGGCATTATATTGAACAAATGCATTGCACTCATCTCAAGCTTTTCTCTCTCTCTCTCTCTTTGCACTACATTCTTGAATTCACAACCTACAAACAATCCAAGAAGATGTCTTGCTGCGGAGGAAGCTGCAACTGTGGCTCTAGCTGCAAGTGCGGCAGCGGCTGCGGGTATGATTTTAATGTCTCATTCTCTAGTCTGATTCATCATTTTGTTTGTCTGAAGTTTCAGAGTTTTATAAGTAAATAAACAAATAATTGAAATTGGATAAAGTTCCTAGTATAGTGTCATGCCAAATCCATGCAATCTGTGAAACAATTAAACGAATATGTTTTTTTTCTTTAACTCAATTCTTGTTCTTATAGGTACTGAACATTTGCTGCTTCTTTTCTTTGATGCAGAAACATGTACCCTGACCTGGCAGAGAAGACCACAAACACTTCAGCAACTATGGTCCTCGGGGTCGCACCTGCGAAGGAGTACAACCTCTCACCATGATCTATATGTTCAATTATTTAGAGAGAATTTTCTGGAACTCTTCAAAATGTCATGTTTCATGCTGATTTTGGTTTTGTTTCTTTGCAGGCAATTTGAGGGGGTTGGCAAGGCAGCAGAGTCTGGTGAGGCTGCCCATGGCTGCAGCTGTGGCTCCAGCTGCAAATGCAATCCCTGCAACTGCTAAAGGAGATGGTGATCTGCATCAGCATGCTGATGATATGTACAAGTAAATAAAGAAGCCATTTGATGCAATGGCTCCTGTGTGTGTGTGTGTGCGACAGTGTGAGTCAGCTTGTGTTCTTCATCCTGATGTACTAATGTGGCCTGTGAATATTGTGAGGTGTCTCCTGCTTTACTCTCTTGTCAGAATGTAATTAGAGGCTATATATCATGGCCTTGTGATTGGAGCACCTGAAGTTTTTACAGACAACATTATGTTTGTGTAATATAATATGGTTTACTTGTGCATGTATATGGCATGTTCTTTCAGTTCCATTTACTGATGCAGTCAACCATATTGTCTCACCGTTCCTGCTTATAACCCGAAAATTGACTAACGGTGCACTTACCAAAAAGTAGTATACAAGTTTAAGTAGGCAAAATGAATGACAAGATTATGCGCAGAATAAAATCTGATTGAACATTTGGACTGTTTGAAACTCATAAAGATAAAGATAAAAATGGAGAATGTAAAATGAGGTAGATATTAGCACATGATTAATTAAATTTTAATTATTACAAACTTGACAAATAGATATATTTGATATTTTAAAGCAACATATATATAAAAAGTTTTCGCACGAAACACACCGTTTAGTAGTTTGAAAAACGTGCTAATGAAAATCAAGGTAAAATCTTAATCTTCATGAGAAAAGAGCACTAGTGTATACACGTCACTGCTCTCATGCTAGAATAGATAAATTTCAGAGGAATTCAAAGATTTGAATTTTTTTTTTTTTGGAAAAGAGAAAAGAGTTGAAAATTTAAGCGATGTTCCAAGTAACCATAAATAGCCAATGAAAGCTGCTGAGGTAACCTGAAGCGGCTGAGCCGGCCGGAGCTGGAGAAGCAGAGGTTCATGCCGGCGATGCTCCGGCACGGCGAGGAGCGCCGCCGCCGTGAAAAACTGAAAGCCCAATATTAGCTGGGCCCAAACGTGATCCCCCACGAACATATCGGCCCACAACTTATTGAGCCGCGAACGGGATGGGCCGGAATGTGATGGGCCGCAAGGTATTGGGCCGGTACGGTCACCTGAAACGTGTTGGGCCGTGGGCCGTGGCCGTACCTCCCGCCGGAGATAAGCTGCCGCCGGCGACGGCCACCGTGGTTAACCACGCACTGCAACGTCTCAACCTTTAGTAGTACAAGAATCAAGATGTGCAATAGATTTCCCCTTTTTTTTTCCTCAAAGAAAAGGATGTGATGATACGCCATTGCCAGAGCCTTCAGATTTCTACATTTTTGTCACAATCTCCATAGGAGATCCCGTCGTTCATAGGGATTCCAAGGGGAAAAAAAAAAGGAAGAAACAATTATGGTTGGATTATCTGTTTGAAACATCCTGAAGTGTTCTAATCCACCTATCAGATTGGAACACATTAGCATTGTAGTGTACTACAGTTGCTTCACCACTCCTACAAATAGGGAGGCCATTCTTGAGGAGCAAATGCACCTCTTTCATCAACCTCATTTTTCCTCTTGCGTACAAGTTCTTGAGAGGTGAAGAGTGAAGAGTCCCAAGGTAGAAGAAGAAGAAGATGTCTTGCTGCGGTGGAAGCTGCTCCTGCGGTTCCTGCGGCTGCGTTGGCTGCTGCGGGTACTACCGATTACTCATCGTCTCTGAGGGCCTCACTTATCAGCTTAAATTTAAATTTACAATCTTAAATTGGCTGATTTTAAGGTTTTCCTTTCGAAGTTTATTTTTCAGCCTTTGTTTTTAAATCACTAAGAACACGAATATAAAAGTTTTATTCACAAATTACTTTTCGTTTATAAATATGCACGAATAAGCCAAACGGATGGGGCAATTCTTTGGCCTTACATGCTTGATCAAACTTAATGGTGAAAATTTACTGGAAGAAAAGCTACATAAAAGATGCAACAATAGTACTATGAGTTTTCAGTTATTGGTCTACTGAAAGCTGAAACCTTTTCTGCTACTTTTGCCCCGGACACAGAATGATGTACCGTGACATGCCAGAGAACAACACCACCAGCAACCCAGGAGCAATGGTCCTTGGTGTTTCACCTGACAAGGGGTATAAATTTCAGATTACAACAAAATATACTACAAATATCAGGTGCATTCATGTGTAATTTGAAACTGATTTGTGTTTTTCGCAGGCGCGTCGAAGTGTCTGAGAAGGCTGAAGAATCCGGTGAGACCGGCCATGGCTGCGGCTGTGGCTCTGGCTGCAAGTGCAACCCCTGCAACTGCTGAAGAGGACTCCTTGTATAACATCTACTAGTAGTAAATAAGGGGCCATTTGATGCAATGGCTCAAGTTTGTGTCACGTGCTTGGTTACTGTACTAGTGTGGTTTGTGTTGTTAGATGGATCTCCCTCCCCTTGAGCCCAACGGCTCAAGGGGGCCTTGACCCGCGCCCTGATCGGGGGCGTCCAGCCGTCACACTGCGCCATATAAAAGGGGGTGGAGGCCGGGGCGGCACACGGTATGAGGTTCGCTGCCGCCGCCAACTCCACCCCACAAACCCTAATCCGATCGAGAGGGGGCGCAGCCAGTGACGGGAAACGCCACCGCCGCGCCACGCCTCATCGCCGGGACATCTACGACCGTCACTGCTGCAGCCGTCATCGCCGTCGACCTCATCGGCGCCGCATCCACAACAACCGAGCGCCAACGACGACGATGGCCGACACTTCTTCATCCTCCAACACCTCAACCAGTCGGTCTATCTAAACCCTCTCCCGTTTTCAATCTTTATAGTTCAAACATCAAACCAATAGATCCACCCGACTAGATCTAACCTAGGTGATTCTAGAGCAAAGCCTAACAATGGTATCAGAGCACCCTAGCGCTTAGATCGGTTCGGGGAAAGAAACCCACAGAGGAAAAGAAAGAAAGAAATGCAAATGATCCAACGGATCGAAAAGAAAACCCTAACCCTAATTCTTACCTCGTCGCCGGCCGTCGTCGACACCGGCAACGGAGGGGGGAGGGGCAAAGAGGCACTGTCGAGGAGCCACTCGACGGCCGTGCGTGCACCCGCGGGTGCACGCGCGCGCCGGCGAGAGGGCCCGCAGCGGCGCCGCCATCTCCGTCGTCGCCGCTCTCTCTCTCACACTTCACGCGGGTGGAGGGCGAGAGACGGTGGGGGGAGAAGAGAAGAGAAAAGGCGCCGGCCATGGGGGGTGGGCGCGAAGGTCGCCGGCGACGGCGACACCGCTCCGTGCGGTCGCGCGAGAAAGAAGAGAAGCTAGGGTTTGGCGTGACGGCTGGGGGGGTCGGCGGTTTTGTTTGCCCGATCTCCCCGCCTGGCCGTCCGATCGAACCCTAGCGGATCGGACGGCTGGCGACGGCTGGGCCAAAAACGGCCCAAGAGGGGCGCGCGCGGCGGTTTCCCGGCCCAGGCCCACGTTGCGGCCTGGGGGAAAAAGGGGAGCGCCCGCGCGCGCCAAAAGGGCCGTGGGCCGCCGGCAAAAGTTCAAATTAGGTCCCTCGGGGGCCGAAAATGATGAAAAGAGGGACAGTAGCAAATTTTCCTTTTATTTTGTTAATTTTCATGCAAATTTCAATAGAATTTGAATAGATTTTTGCATGTTTTACCTCTGTTTAAATTCGAACCAACGGGAGAACTTTTACAGAGAGTAAATTACAGAGTTTTGCTACTGTTCATATGATTTTTATATAGATTTTCCGCTGCAAATAGATGAAATTGATGTTTCTAAAATTAAATTTCGAACCAACGGGAGAATTTAATTTTAGGAACATTAATTATGTGCTATGATGTTGTAATTTTCTGACCAACGTTGATAATTGCAATGTTACAGTTATGGTTATATGTATTATGTCTAGGGATGGCAACGGGGCGGGGCGGGGCCGGGTTGGGCTGGAACGCCCCCGACCCCGACCCCCGACTTCAGCCCCCGCCCCCGGCCCCGACCAGTGATGCGGGTTGAAAACATCCCCCGCCCCCGACCCCTGCGGGGCCCCGCAACCCGACCGGGGCCCCGCATTGGGTAGCATCTCCATCCAATCAGCTCAAAAAATACAACACAATCATCATTTCATCAAAAAGAAATATTGTACATAATTAACACACCATCAAAAATAGCATGAATACTTCAATTTCATCATAAAAATTTAGCAAGAACACATTGATGATATCCATCATTTCACACAGTTACACACTAACACACATGAGTTCAACTGTTCAAGCGAATCAAGCCTTCAAAGTTCAACAGTTGAATTGTTCAACATATCACACACAGCAACTCAGCAAGCAAATCACACGAACTCAGCGGCGGCCGCCCTGTGCGCCGCCGGCCGCGCCCTTGCTGCCGGTGTCGCCTCCCCGCCGCGCCTGTGCGCCGCCGCCGGCCCGCCGCGGCGCCGCCCTGTGTGCCGCCGCCGCTGACTCCGGAGGGAGAGGACGAGCTCGAGCCGCCGGACGCCGGAGGGGAGACTGGAGAGGAGGGGAGAGGAGATGGTGGCCTGGCGGCTGGCAGGCGCCGGTGACGCCGAGAGGGCGAGATCCAGAGGCGAGCCGGCGAGCCGCCCACGAGCGCGCGCCGCCGCCTAGGTCACGCGGCTCACGCCACAGCCGCACCGCACGGGATGAGTGGATGACGGGAGGGGAGGGGAATGGATGTGGGGAGGAGAGAGACTGAGGGATGTGCTGCTAGGGTTAAGGATTTTTTTAGTGGGCTGGGCTTTTTGGGCTTTCTTTGATCTATATTTTGAGGTCTATATGTACTCCCCGGGGGCCCGCGGGTCACCCGCGGGTGAAATCAGTCCCCCGTCCCCTCCCCGCCCAAATGCGGGGCCCCGTCCCCGACGCACCCGCGGGTCGAAAATCGGCCCCGCCCCCGCCCCCGTAGGGGCGGGTCCCCGCAGGGGACCCGGCCCCGCGGGGGAAATTGCCATCCCTAATTATGTCTAATTCTGCCCAACGGTGATGTAGGCTTAATGCATATTATTTTAATGTTAATTTTTGTTCTCACCGTACGTGATTATTTCAGGTGGCTACTCCTTGATGGGTTGCATTAAAGATATTCCGACCCTGAAAGGAGATAACTACGCAGAATGGAAAAGAAAACTCGACCTTGCTTTTATCTTGGGAGAGGTGGACTGGGTGTTGACTACCCCATGTCCTATAGAACCTGCTGAACTTATCAGAGGTGAAAATGAGTCAGATGCTGACTGGCAAAAGAGACAGAGGGACAATGCTCCTCTCGTCATGTCGTATGACATTGAACAAAAGAAATGGTCCTTAGCCAACAAGAAAT